CTCCCCTGTGCCAGCCCTGTCTCCAGCACAGCTCTGGTTTGGAGGGGGACAAGGGGAACAGGACCCATCTTGATTCCCCTGGCTCACTTTCTCAGCATGGCAAAGTGGGGAGGTCAAAAAAAAAGCCCCAAGAGCAAGGCTGGAAGCTGGGAATTCCCTGGAGGTTTTTTGGGGAGGGAAGGCAGGGCTCCCTGCCAGGCACAGAGGGGACACTTACCTTTCTTGTGTCCTAGAGCCACGGCCAGATCCATCGGGGTGTAGCCAGAATCTGCCTCTGTTGTCAGGTCAGCACCACGAGCTGCAAGCAGGCAGTGGAGATCAGGGCATGGTGCACCCCTGATGACGCAGCATCCCCTCTGGCTCAGGCACAGGGTGAGGGGACCCCCAAAAGCTGCCCATTCTGGCTGGGCAGCCCCCCTGTGACACCCCCAGGCTGCTCAGTTTCTCCCCCCAGGCATGTCACTCTCTGTCCCCGAGGTGGTTACCAACGAGGCCAAGGACTAAGGGCAGATCTTCCCCGTTACCTAGTAGGGCCTCGACACACTTGACGTGATTGCCGCGCACGGCGTAGAGCAGAGGAGTGCCGCCGTTCTGCAGGGAAAGGGAAGGGGCTGTGTCATTGCACAGGGCCACACTCACACAGCTCCTGCTTCTCCCAGAGTGGTAGGTCCCCAAATCCCCTTTCCACCCTCTCCCAGCTCCAGGCTGGGTGTTTTCTCGCAGAGCATCTCTACGCAGGTTTGATTCTCTGTATGCAAGACAATAACTTTTTAAATTGTGTGATTTTTTTAAAGATAACCTGAAGTTCTGAGCGCTGTTTTCTCGTGGCTGGTAACATCACCAGTGTGAACAACTTGAGGAAACCATTTAAAATTATTATCCAGATTAATTTCTTGAAATGACTTGCATGAGCAAGCAAACGAGCGCTGCGTGCCTGGGAAGCATCTAGGAGAAAGGCATTGCCACTAACTCAGCCCAGAACGATGTGAACTCGCTGCTGCTTTTTAAAATGAGCTTTGTGGAGCCTTGTCTGGGGCTTGGTGCCACTCCCAGCGCTGGCACGGTCCCTGCAGCAGCTTGTGCCCAGCAGCACTCACCCAGTCGTAGATGTTGATGTCCACGTTCCTCTCCAGCAGCATGATGACAATGTCGGTGTAGCCGCCCATGCTGGCCAGGGACAGGGCGCTCTCCCGCTCCTTCGCCAGCGCGTGGGGGTCAGCACCCTGGGGACAGCACAGGCATTAGTCCCGATGGGTGAAAGGGCTGAGACCTGAAGTGCTCAGCACAGCCTTGCTGGGTACCCCACGAGGGCTGATCGTGGAGCCAGGTCCCAATGGAGTAATGGGGCAGAGACAGCTCACATGTTCCCAGTGACCTCTCCTACCCAAAGTCCTCACTGGGCATATTTTAATCATCATCAAACATCTCAGGTGAGGACTTAAAAGCTCTTCTCCAGTGTCAGTAAACTAAGCCTGATGGTTCCTGTTACTCAGCCCTTTTCTCATCAGCATTACCAGCCCTGTCTGGCGGTGTGTAAAGTATCCACTGTCTCTTTTTTTTACTGATTTACCTAGAAAACCTCCCTATCTTCCAAGCCCTGCCAGCCATGGTCCTCTCCTGGACTTCATTATATCATTTATAAATGTATCACCTCGTTTATTTTGGGCTCTGCTTGTCTCTCTGGTAATACACTGTAATTTTGGAGCCAGGGTTTGGCCAGTGCTTTTGTGGCATGAGTGCTTGCTGATCATCAGACACACGTGGATGTGGGACTGAGCTTTGGGGGAGCAGCTTGATCCAGCGTGTAGAAGGATCTCTTTTCTCACCCCCAAAACGATCCTCAACTGCCAGCCCAGCACTCAAGGACGATGCAGCAATGAGTTCATTAACTGCAACGATACCTTGGTGAGTACATTTGCTGGCAGATTACAGGGCCCAAGTGATAAGCCTGATCTCAAATTACCAATAAGCAGATATTTAATTACAAACAGTTATTGCTAGCTATGAGATAAGGCTCTTCACGCTCCTGACTTAGCTCACAGCCCAGTGGGGAGCAGCATCTGACAGCGCCTGAGCCGTCAGCTCTGCAAATGTGTCCTGTTTGGTGCCATGGGGAAGGTTGGCTGAGATGATAGCAGGATGGTGCTGGACAATTTGGCAGCTGCTGGGGTTGGAAATGGGAATTCTCCTGTTAACGAGGTGCTGAGTGAGCATGGCCTTACCCATTCCAGCAGGTGACGGACCGTTTCGATCTCTCCGAAGGCTGCAGCCCAGATCAGTGGTGTGAAACCTCTCTCATCAGGTTTATTTACCAAGTTCTCACCTGCACAAACATGGATGAGACATGGTAAATAGGGTAAAGCTCCCTCTGCTCCCTGTCCCTCCAGTAAACCCAAAAAAGGCTTTAAACTAAGCCAAGGGTTTGGGTCTGGGGTAAGAACCCAATGGAAGAGACACGTACCTTTCCGAAGGTGCTCTTTCAGCTGGCTGAGCTCTCCTTGGGCAGCGAGCTGGTGGATGGACAATGCTGGGGGACAGAAAGAATTCACCCATCAGGACAAAATGTTTCCCCAGCTCAGCACCCACCATTTGCAGGTGCGTCCCTGCAAGCCTGGGGAGGTGGGAACTGGCCAGCCCCATTCTGAGCCCCAAAAAGCCCAGTATGTAACCAACATTCTGCCGTGACAACCACGGCGAGTGCTGAGAGCAACAGCAGGAGCAGCCTGGGAGAGCATCCCGGTGTCCTCTGCTCCCTCTACACCCCACATCCATCCGTGGTCTGAGACACACAGCCCACTGCCCACTGGTACTCACTGTCCAGCGTGGCTGGGAGTGCTGAGACTTCGTTGCCCCGCTGCCTGTTTGTCAGTGTGTTCGAGTGCTTCAGGGGGAAGCCTGTTCCGGAGAGAGGAGAGAGTCAGGACACACATCCTGGGAGGATGTGGAGGGGAGGAACAACGCTGACTTGAGGCCAAGAGCTTCGTGAAAGCTCAGGTCTCATGCGACTTATCTGAAGCTTTTCTCTCCTGTTCTTGCCAAAAACTGAATTCCTGCAAAAGAATAATTATTCCCTTGCAAGTAAAGAACCTAGAGACTGAGGTTTGACCAGTGTGCAGGGACCAACAACTGAGCAGGGAAGATAAAACAGCCCGAACAGCTGCCCAGGGAGGAGCAGGGTCCATCTGGGACACCGCGGGAGGCAGGGATCTGGCATTAATGGCATAATTGCAAATGATATACTGCAGAGGACAGCCTGGGGATGCACTCGAGTTCATCCTCATATTTCCTACCCTTGAAGAGCTCCACTTGAAAATCTCTCTGTGTTTTCAACAAGCGATTCGTGGTTTAATTAGGAAAGTATATGGAAAGAGTTTGTCATCTTTGGTGCCACTGCATGGAGCTGCAGCGACCTCTCACTGCTGGCACGTGTCATAGAATCACAGACTGGTTTGGGTTGGTAGGGACCTTAAAGCTCATCCAGTTCCAACCCCCCTGCCAGCAGCAGGGACACCTTCCACTAGACCAGGTTGCTCAAAGCCTCATCCAGCCTGGCTGAGAACACTTCCAGGGAGGAGCAGCCACAGCTTCTCTGGACAACCTGGGACACTGTCTCACCACCCTTATAGTAAAGAATTTCTTCCAAATATCTAATCTAAACCGACCCTCTTCTTGTCATCAGCAAGGTGTGGGTTTGGACTTGGCCTTGTCACATTATAAGAGGGACTGGCAGCAGTAAAAGACTCTTTTCTGTCTGCCTTTGTGGGATGAAAGTCCCAGATGAGCTCTCCCATGCCTGTCTCCCACTGGGGCTGTGCCTGAGCACTCACTGTCAAGGGCCGAGAGCTGGGTGCTCCTCTGCCTGTCCATCGAGGCCTTCAGGAGAGTGTCTGCTCCACCTGCAAAACAAGAGTGGCCATTGGGGACCTCGGTTCCACTTGTTGGGGAGCAGGCTGAGCTCCACACTCAGCACGAGACCAAACCAGCACAGCGAGCACCCCATGTGCGCCCCGACCCCAGGGTGGAGGGGACATTGATCCCACTTTACAGGGGGACAAAGGCAGCAGGATGCCAGGTCCATGTGTACCCCATCTCAGCTCCCATCACCCCGTCACCCCCAGCGCTCACCGTCCCCATGGTCCAAGCGTGGCATGTCCTGGTCCAGCCGCAGACACCCCGGTGGGTCACCGCTGTCCCTTGTGTCCCTGGTCACAGCCTCCTCTGCAGCTGCTGCTCCCTCGGCTCCTTTATCACCCACTTTTGGGAGCTCCTGGGTGTCCTCGTCATTCGGGGGGATCTCCATGAGATGAGTGACGGCTTCTTCACCTTCCATGGGGCAGCTGCGACACAAGGACGTGTTAGGAAGGGGGGAAAAAGCGGGGACATCAGCTGGGATGGGGGGAAGGAGGCTGCT